CTCATTCAATCGTTCTGTTTACGTTCATTTTAATTATATCAAATCGTTGCGTACGCGACTATTTTTGTACCAACCAACGCTTCTGTTGAATGCCACTTGAAATATTTAGAACACGATCATCCACGTTTTTTATTTTTATATAGCTTTTGTATGCTACAAATCACATTTCAGTGCCTGAAATCCTTTTGTAATATAATCTCGATCTATATAACAACAAACATTTGAAAACTTCTGTATTATATCTTTATTATAAATATATCTGTATTATAAAGTCGATTATAAATAACTTTGATCATTATTTACTTTACCGAAGTATCATTTGTATCTCGTATATCTGAACATTCCAGAACATTTTATACAAATTGGAACACCGAACACAATTTTAAATTCACACCTTTTTTAGTTACACGTTTGAATTTTACGATTCGTTTTTGTTTTTAAATATGAACGCAGTGCCGCCGTAATTCTTTTATTTCTTTTTTTCGTACACATAGAACTGTAGATAAAGCGCGTGTGACGGCCAATGCTCAACTAGCGGTGGCTTCCCATGTCGGCAGTCTGAAGCGACCGCGTAGTTTAGTTAACAATAAAACAGTAATCCAACTCTATATTAAATGGGATATAAGATTATATTAAATAAAGATAAAAGTAATGTTCTAGTCTCAAGAGTTTACGTGAATGTAACAATTGATTAATTCTGACCTGACGCAAAGCTAACAGTCAAATTCTTCAAGGTTATAGGTTATATTTAATAAGCCCGAAACATGGAATGAATAGATGGAATATTCTTTATTGCACATTAAAAACTACAGTTAGTATCACAGAGTGAGCTAATGTACAATGTGAAAAAGATGGCATTACTTTTACAACAACGATTAATTGTTTTGCGACTATGAAAAACATAATCAAAAATGTTCCGTTCCATGAAAACCTGCATTTTAATGATCTCGGTGGCCCAGTGGTTACCATTGTCGGAGATGGTTTAAATAGTCGTATGATATGGTCAACGTTATATTGTGTCAATTAACGAAAGTCGTAGCACAGTTGTGTGTTGAAAATATGAGAATGTCGTATTAAGTTTTGTGTTTATAGAACATGATACTGTAAAACATTTTGCAAAATGTATGATGCGTTGGGGCTGTTCTTTGGTAAATAAAAAAACAAAGTATTTAAATTAATAACTTTTGTAACCGTAATGTAAAATAGGGTGGTTTGCATTAGTACTAGACACAACTGGTTGATGACTTAACCATCTCAGTCAGACGTGACCATGGGCCCTGTAAACGGACCGAAACGTTGTCAAAGTCAAAATCAAAGAGATAATTGTTTATTCCATATGTAAAATTTTTACACTTGAAAACGTCATTTTTTAAGCTACTGCTCCTACACTACGCTGACCTTCTTGAAAATAACGATCAAGAAACTCTAGGGATTGCTCTTTTCAAATAAACTTTTTGAATCATAATTGTGTGGAATCTAGACTCATATTGTTTTTCCATATATCTTTATCTAACACTTCAATTTTGTAATATGACTTTTCAATTAAAATACTTTTAATGTAAGTTTTAAACTTAGGAAATGATAATTTTAATATATTCTCCGGAATCTTATCGTAAAAACGTATACAGATCCCATAAAAGAATCGTTTACTTTAGTTAAACGAAATCGCGGTACCATGAGTTTGGACTTAGTTCTAAGGTTAATATTATGGATATCTTCTTTCTTAATGAAATTATGTATATTTTTACGTGCTTACAAAATATTTAAGTAAATGTACTGTGATGCCACAGTCATGATACTAGTCTTCTTAAACTTTTCTTTGAGAGAAATCCGAGAATCTAGACGGTACACAGAACGAGTCGCTCGCAACACAAATATGGTTTGTATGTCTTGTTGGTTTGTGTGAAAAAAAAAACAAATATACGTTATTTAGGCGACCTTCATAGTTTACACACCGGTTTTCATGGTATCGCCATCTCTGAGGTCCCGGGTTCGATCCCCGGCCGAGTCTATGTAGAAAACTAGCTTTTCTATATTGTCTCGGATCTGGGTGCTTGTGGTATCATTGTTGTTTCCAATTATCATAACAAGTGTGCTTACTTTAGAATCAGAGCTAATATTTATGATTTATTTATTTACATCCGAAAAACATAAATGTAACGAAATACTTTCATTTGATTCAAACTTACAATTCGATGAGAGACTGTTACATTTATTCTGTACATAGGCCTCCTCAAGGCGCCACAGAGTTGGAATACTGAACATAGTTACTAGTCTGTGTCGTTCTAGCCGACGCGGCGGCCTTGTGACTCTGTCATTAGCCGAGCCCTTGATTGCGTCCGAATTGGTCAATATGATAGACGATATTTCTGTTTATTCAAAATCTTTCTTTAATACTTCCTTATACTTCAAGGTTGACCTTAGTTTAATCGAAATAGCATCTGCTATCGTGTCAATTAAAGGTTAGGTAGAATAGACAGACGGGTGGATGGACGAACAGATCTGTCGTCCACTAACTATAACATTTTAAATAGAAAAAGTTAGAGCACAAAATTCTCTTTTAAACACAATTAAAATTAGTTAACGTGTTCCACTTATCGGAACTTACCCTGACAATGTAGAGCTGAAATATCAATTAAACAATTACAATATTCTAAAACTGGGTTATGGGTTTATTATATCTCACTTAGACGCGTTTTCGTTAGTGGACGTAGTCTTTGCCTCCCCAGTGAGAATACAAGAGCGTGAGTATATTTAATAATGCGTTTTGTAGCAATAGAGATGGATTTAAATTTTACATACTTACACTGGCTTGACTGTACATTCATAATAAGAAATAACTTTCTTATTAAAAAACCGAGCTCAAAAGTTTACTTATCAGTTTTTTCATAGGAATTACATCTATTTGCTATGTTTTAACGAAATTAAATTCATCCACTAGTCTGCCATCCCTCGAGGTGGAATTTTCTTCAAACTTAAATGGGACCGACACGGCATACAATTTTTCCAATACATTGACTTACAATTATATGGACGTCGGGTCCGCGCTAAAAAGTGTCCGAACTTATAGGGCGTTAAAATCGTATACAGAGCGTCATTCACGCTTTAGTCTTCGTTTGTTCGACTGACAGCGAAGCAAGCAAAATTAGACAGTACTGCGATGGCATTACAATTTAAATTCAACGTTTTAGCTTTTTCATATTCCTTTACATGTCACTACGTTTAAATAGGTTGACTTGGG